TTTCTTCCCCCGCTGGTCCTCTGGGGAAGATTGTGACATTGTGTGAAAGATGCAGACAGGGTTGAAAAGGAGTGTGTTAAACTTCACAAAACTAAAATTAGAATAGCTTACAATTGATCGCAGTTAAGAGTAAGTGAAAAAAAAATTCCAACTAAATACCTAGGGATTAATTTCTTTAAAAGCATGATGTTTAAGGTCATGGACTTCTGTAGGTAAAAGAATGATATGCAAGACTTTCTCAACTCCGATTTATTGAAATCACCAACTATATATTGAGCATTTTCCATGTGTTAGGCAGTGTGTTGGGTGCTGGGTATAGAGGTGACTAGGACATGACCTGTGTCTAATCTCACTCTGGGGAGCACCAGAGTTTCTGGTTGAGAATCAATGCTGTGTGCCGAGTCATGACTCAGCAACAAGAGAACCCATCAAGGGCCTACAGTAACAGCATCAGTTCAGGAGGGATGCTGGGGGTGGGGTAAAGGGGCAGAGGGCTCTCCTTTTCTCCCAGGTGTGTAATGGAGGTCCATCCACTACTGCCCAAGGTTGTCCATTCCACTTACCCTTAAATGGGATGTGCAGAACACATCCATCCCCACTTGCCCACCACCAGGGCTGGCACTCTCTGAGAGATACCAAGAGTTTTTTCTCAGGCCCTGTGGGCCTATTCTCCTTTGGAAATTGCTGGTCTCAAGAGACTCCCCGGTGATGAACATAGTGACCATTTGACTTCAATCAACTTGAATGAGCTTTCACTGTGATCCAGCCACCCCCTCCCCCTCTTGACAATCTTTTGGTAGCTTCAGTGATTGCCCTCTACCACCACCAACCACTAGCCCCATTGATATCTTAGATGATGCAAGACCTCTGGCTACTTTTGAAAATGGTCCTGAAACTTCTATAGGAGGTTTCTCAGTGAATGAAAAAGTTACTCTGACATGGATCTTAAGTGTCCTTTGAGCCTTCTTGGTGGCAGAGAATTCTGGATGATACCTGTTTGCTGCTAGTGCTCCATCATGGCTGTGCTTCTTCCCTGCATCACTTGCCAGGGACCTAATTATGCCTTTACTCAGTGGGGGCCAAAGCCATTATTATTTCTGAAATGATAATGATGTTCCCAGGCTAGCTTACAAAGGTCTTCTTAGAACAAAACCTGGCTGTTAGAACCTTGCGCTTTTAACTGACACATTGTGGATTCTCACCCTCCTGCAGGGTATCTCACTTCTCCTGCCCCCAGTATTCCTGGAGTTCTATTCTTCAGTTCTCACTGGTTTCTGTTCTTTTCACAAATGCATGGCCAAGAGTAACTTCTGTCCTTACTTGATTTCAATTATCCTAGGGGACCTCACTGATCCAGCTCTACCCGTAACTTTGCAAGGGGCAGGGGCATAAGAGGGAGGTGGCAGGCAGGAACAGGCATATGATTTTAGTAGTATAGATACCTCTTTGATATCTATGAGTTCCAGTGATCTTCAGATAATACAATAAACACCTCTGTAGATATACTACTTGGTATCATTCATTACTCTCTCCCTTTATTCGAGAGGGGCAGGGAGAAAGGTGGGTCACAGTCTTTAAGGCTTTTCCCCAAATCACTTACATTCCCATAACCCTTGAGCCAGGAGCACTAATTAAATATTGCTCACTTATCCCCTGTGAAGTCCTCACACACACAACCCTTGGTGGCTGCAGTTGTGAAGAGAACCCCTCTCTGTAAGTAATATCTTGGGCTGCATAGCACAGCCATTGACTCTATCTCTTTAGCCTGGTTTAGAGGGCCACAGACCTCTGTCCATTGTGCAAAATGTGTTTTAAAGAAAAAATCTGGGGACGCCTGGGTGGCTCAGTTGATTATTCGACTCTTGATTTCACTCAGGCCATGATCTCATGGTCGTGGGATTAAGCCCCACATTGGGCTTACCGCTAGGCATGGGGACTGCTTGGGATTCTCTCTCCCTCTTTCTCTGCACGTCCCCCACCCCGCTCATTCACATGCCGCCTTCTGCTCTTTCTCTCTCAAAAAAAAAAAAAAAAAATCTGAATTGGAATTTATCCTCTGCCAGATGATAAAGTAACTTGTCTAACTGAAATTCAGAGGTCTAGGGTCTTGATGCCAGTGAGCATTCTCTCCAGGGAGCTCTTTTGAGGGTGTAAGTAAAGTGTTGGGGCAACAAACTGTCAATGGGCACAAACACCCCCTGTGCAAGAGACCAGCCTTTCCCGTTGCTCCATGCCCAAGAGGGTAAGGGTTTATTCCTCTCTTTGCAGGTAGCTGAAGAATTTTAATTACTATCACTCCCTGAGTCAAGAACTTTACATCTATTACTAACTCCAGGAAGGCAGGCTGGTGTGGTGCAGTGTTCCCAAAGTGTGGTCCCTGGACCAGCAGCCTCAGCACCACGTGGCAACTTCTTGGACTCCACCCCAGATATACTGAGTCAGAAAACTTGCTGGTTGCATCTGGTGATCTGTGTTTTAACATACCCTCCAGGTGATGATGCTAGTGCATGCTCAAGTATGAGAGCCCCTGGAAAAGTGGTAAGAGTGAAATCAGGTTGCTGAGTCAAAATCCTGATGCCACCCCTGGGTGATATAGGAAAGGTTTTCTCTGTTTCTTCATTTGAAGAGTATGTAAGATGCTCAGGAAGAAGAGAGTTAATAGATGTAAAGTACTTAGACTGTGCTTGGCATAGAGAACCCACTCAGGACTTAGGTCTCATCAAAGGTGGTTACTAATAGCTGACTATACACGAGAGGCTCGAAGAGGTTAATGACTGGCCCTGTGCTACAGAGGGAAGGCATGGTGTCTCCATCACTAGAGAGAGAGACCACATTTCAGGGTGTGGGGTGGGGAACCTGGGATGTGGAACTGTGCTGAGCATCTGCAGAGAGGTGGTGTGTTCAGAGCTCAGTCATGCCCCTCCCACTGATAACTATACCTCCAGGTACCCTGGCCTTGGCTTTGCTGAGCCCTCATGCTTTCCCGAGTGCCCTTGGGTTCTCTCTCACACACACTCTGTCTCTCTTTATGGGATCTTATGGTGAAACCAAGCCAGAGGGCATGACCCGACCTTCACCTTAACCTTGCTTTGTTGACAGCCAGAAGGTGGACTGGCATTGGTGGAAGCATGGTGAAGATTTCAGGTTAAGGATGCTGCCTGAGAAATTTGGTGACAAATTAAAATTCATTCCTGTAGAAAATTGAGAATAGATTAGCCGAATTGCCTAGGCTTTTAAGACATTTCGTGGATTGAGGTCTTTGGGGGGAAATTAGCAAATTGTGCATGGAATTGGTAAGCTATTAATAAGGGGAAATTTTCTCTTCTATGCACTACGTGGCTGGGTTGGGGCCCTTTGTAACCATATGCAAATCTGCTGAGACCCTTCTGTCCATCTCCCTTTGTCTCCCAGGGCTTAAGCACAGAGGTGATGCTTTCAGATGGGGCTCTCCTGCATCGGAGCTGTACCCCGTAGGCCCATGAGACTCTTTGAAGGAGCTTCAGAAGTTAAGACTTCCCCAATTACAGAGCTGCTGAGGACTAGGGGAAAAGGGTCATCTCACCTTCAATTCGAATGAAATAAGCTACATGGGAAGTATGGCTCAATTTACTGGCTCATACCCTCCCCTCCACCTGCATGTTCACAGACACACTACAAGCAAGCAGGCTAAAATAGTCTTCAGTGGCTTGGACAAAACTGGCCTGGATATGAACTTCCCAAATGCACTGTGCACACTGAAATCAGGGCTGATGGTGTATTATCGGTGATTGTTTATATTTATCTGCCAGTGACTTCCTAAGCTGCATATTTGAGGCTTCAGAGCCTCATATTTATTCACTTCTTCCTTTGGGTCACATCAGCGAGAGTGATTCTACTGTACTGCGCTTCTTGGGAGGCACGGGATCCAGGATGTAGTCCTTCCCTCTCATATGGGGGAAAGAACAACCATTGTTAAGGATTTTCCTGTAACTTGGGGATGGACCCATTGGGGTCTGAGAACACACACTCTGACACCATTCTATGTAAACCCAGACATGCTTCTGCTCATTTTAATTAGACAGATAAAATTAGCAAGAAGATTAAGATAAAAGGAGAAATTAAAAATATTTAAATGTTAGGTGGAATTTACAAAAGTGAATTGAACAATGAGGTACAAGAAGGAATGAGGAGAAACACAGACACATTTGAAACATTCCTCGGATGCCACATGGCTTAAACCAGTCCACAAATAAGGTAAGAAGAATTCTCCCTTGCCATCTCTTGAATTACAGATTCTAGGGATGTGGAAGAACATTCTCCAGAAACACTTTCCTTCTCCTTCTCCTTCAGATGTTACCAAGAATAACTAATCAGTCAGTATCATTCTAGAATGGCCCACACTGCATCCAATTCAAACCACTCACCTGTTTCCTGTCTGAATTTGCAAGCTCCTGAGAGTTTTTTCCCCTTTCATTTTACTTTTCTCCCTGCCCTCTCTCCCCATTGAGCCAATAGGCCAACTGGGCCAACCAGAACACCAAACCAACAACATGTTCCAGCCCCTTTGGATTTTCCAGGGGGCAAAGATCTCCCGTTCTTCTTTCTTGTCTGCATCTGTTACGAACAAGCACAGTCATTTTTATAACACAGACATACATGTGTGTGCTCTTGCACACGGAAACAGGTTTTTCTTTTTTCTTTTTTTTCCAATTTGTGGTTTCTTTTTCCTTTTTGCAGAAAATGCAAACAAAAGAAAAACAAGGTTTTCAATTGAAGGTACATCTCTTCTTCAATATGAAGACATTAATTGAATTGGTTGGATCCCCCATGCAGTGGTCAGCAAAGTCCTTTGGCAACTGACAGAACGACATCTGGAGACTCAGGAGCTGGGGTTTGTTTGAAGAAACTTCCCTACACGAGTCATGAGCAAAGGGAAATGGATGTGGGAGAAGGGAGAGGGCTCGTGGGGAGGAGTACAAAAGGAGAAAAGAAAAGAATGTCATTGGTGAGGAAGAAAATGGAAAACTGCCTCTGTTTCTTCCTTCTACCTCCTTCTCTTTCTTCCTGTGGATCAGTGACTCCAGCCCCCTGAGTGGGAGCAGAGTTTACTCTTGGTTGCCTCGATGATATTGTTTGGTCTTCACTTCTGTTGGATAATACCTTTTCATTTTTTTCATTATTATATTTTGGTTTCCCACGGCATCTTACACATGCTTCTGTCACTGAGAAACGAAGATTGCCTATTAAGAACAGGTCCAGTCTTCTTCACTGATGTAATGCAGTTCTTAGTAGAGAAACCAATCTTTCCAGAACATTCCACAGTGGTCAACCTCTGGTTCCCTCTTAAGCCTGGTCCTTTTCCTTCCTCTCCTCCCCCCAGAAAATGAGAGTTCTCATGCCATTGCCGTTGGTGACTGACTCATCTGGACCCTCATAGAATGAATGCTGTTCAGAATCTTCTTCTGATGACCTGCCAAGGTGACCCCTATTCTCAGGAGGTCTCTAGGAGGGAAAAAAAGACAAAAAAGGGCATGCTAGTGTTAGAGCAGCTTTTCAAGGATCAAACCGCATCATAGAAGGCAAGCTCTTGCTTTAGTTGGGTAGGCAGATAAAAGTGTTTAAAAATCCAACAGTCAGATTTACCCAAGTCTTTGCTTACATAGGTATTTTCTTGCTCAGTCTCATTTGCTTCACGCGGTGGCCCTTGTCTCCAATGACCCCTCCCAACTTAGACCATCCTAGAAGTGTTGTGCCCTGTTCTTCACGTATGGGTGCTGGAGAAGCCCCCCGTTCATTGTTTCCATGACCCTAGGAGGACTGGAACTTTTGTGTGTGTGTGTGTGTGTTTTAACACTCTGAGCACACACTATATGGGGCTTTGGTTATGCTGTGGAGCTTTCTGCCTAAATTAGTGATCACCCACTGAGATTGAAAAGATACGGGGTTTGCTAGGTTTTCTGATGTTTTTCCCCTGAGTTTCCATTTTCTGCCTCTGTTTGAATTTTAATGTCATGAATTTTTAAGAAGGGTGATCTCAAAATAACTTTCAAATATCTGCCCAGGCAGGAATTTAAGTAATATGTTTAGGATAGGAGTTTAGACTGTACTCATCTTTTTTTTTTTTTATGTTTGTTTATTTTTGAGAGAGAGAGAGGAGGGCAGAGGAAGGGTTGAGAAAGAGAGAGAGACACAGAATCCGAAGCAGGCTCCAAGTTGTGAGCACAGAGCTGGATGCGGGACTCGAACTCATGAACCATGGGATCATGACCTGAGCCGAAGTTGGACACTTAACCAACTGAGTCACCCAGGTACCCCATCGACTGTACTCATCTTCAAGTTCATGGCTTATATTTAATTTTGGGGAGACCTGTGCATCTTTGCCTAGTTAATAATAATAATAATAATAATAATAATAATAATAATAATATAGCATTGCTCGAGTACTTCTCATGTGCCATATACTATTTCACATATAGCTAAGGAAGTATTTCCTAAAAACTGACAAACCACTCAAGGTCAATAATAATAATTTAGCAGCAGTTGTTTCTTGTGTGCATCCTGTAGGCAGGCAGTAGGCCAAGTGCTTTGCATGCACTATTTCATTAACCTTCTACCAAAAACTATTATATTTTGCTCATTTATGGACAAAGGCAAGTAGGGCTCAGAGAAGTTAAGTAACATGCTCAAGATCCCACAGCAGGTAATTGGTGGTGGGCCTGGGGTTCAAATTCAAGACTACCTGGTTTTTAGCCGCCCTGTAAGGCCTGCTCTCAGAACTATTCTAAAGTCCTGACTATATTCCCCCAAAAGCCCCTGTCCCTGGCATAGCAGATCACTTTGCCCACCAGACCCACAAGCAGGTTCCTGTGCTCTCCTCAACCCCCCTTACAGCTGGCGGTCAGTCCCCTCAGAGCTGCAGCTGCCTCAGATTGTCAAATCGTCCATGTCTTTTCAGCAAATGCTGCTGAGAGGCACACTTGAATTCTGAATTCACAAATTGTCCTGCAATGTATTTTATTTAGTAGCTCATGTTCTTTTTTCATCTTTTATCTCTCAAGAAACAAACTAAATTGCTCCAATAGTGTATGGGCATTTTTTACTTTTAACTAAATCCCTTAATTTTTCCTTTTCCAGGCGGAGGAAATTACTCCATTGGATGCTTCCAGTTGTGGGGAACTAGGGGGTGATGGCTCCACACACAGCCACATCGCAGTGAGGAAGCAGGCATGGCCTCAGCAGCACAGGCACCCTGCCACCCCTGAACTCGGGCTCTCTGGTCACCTAGACATCCACACCAGCTCTGCAAGATGGGGAGGCTGCTTTTCCACTGGGAAGTGCTGCTTTTCTTGTTGCTGCTGTTGGTGCCTGATGATAATTCATGGTGTCAGGGGCTGCCTCCATACAGCAGGAACAGAAAATGAACCCACATTTTAAAAATGAATTCTGTTGCTTAGTGGATGCTAGGGTAGATGCATATTCAAGACGTCTCCCTAGGGAAAGCGGAGCTTCCATCATTTCTGGCAAGAATCAACTTCCAAGAGGTAGGGCAGGAGCACCTAGGTGGCCCAGAAGGTTGAGGGGTTGAGCGTCCACTGTTGGTTTTGGCTCAGGTCATGATCTCATGGTTTTGAGCCCCACGTCAGGCTCTGCACTGACAGCGTGGAGCCTGCTTGGGATTCTTCCTCTCCCTCTGTCCCTCCCCAGCTCACTTGCAGGCTCTGTCTCAAAATAAATAAATTAATTAAAAAAAAAAAAAAGAGGTAGAGTGGGACACTAGGAAGACTGACTGCAAAGCAGGAGTCTGGGACAGAAACTGTTCCTCTGAGGTTCAACTGCTGGGGCTGGATGATGGGAGCCCACCTCTCCCTTGGGACTCAGCAACAGGCCCACTTTGAGAGTGAATCCCGGCACCTAGCACTCTGCCCAACATATAACAGGTGATCAATAAGCATTTGTCGCCAATTGCTTGGAGGACCGAGCAGTCCTCTACCTTGGGAAATGTGTGTCACAAGCCACCAACCTCATGTTGTCTATAAATGTTGTGGCCCATGTAGCCAGTGAAGGCCTCTCTGGGGGGATGTAGCTATTCAAAATTTGACCCTTACCAAGTTGTTCCCAGCCTTGGCTGCACATTAGAATCACCTGGGGAGTTTTAAACATCCTGATGCCCAGGTCTCAGTTCATCCCAGTTAAACCAGAAGATCTGGTAGTGGAAGTCAGGCATCAATATATTTAAAAAAACCTTTTTTTAATGTTTAGTTTTGATAGAGAGCGAGCGAGCGAGCAAGAGCGAGTAGGGTAGAGGCAGAGAGAGAGGGAGACACAGAATCCGAAGCAGGTTCCAGACTCCCAGCTGTCAGCACAGAGCCTGATGTGGGGCTCAAACCCACAAACAATGGGATCATGACTTGAGCCAAAGTTGGACACTTAACCCACTGAGCCACCCAGGTGCCCCAGACATAAATATTTTTTAAAGATTTCCCAGGTGATTCCAGTGTGCTACCACATACGGGTACTGCTGTGTCCCAGGGGTGGACCGATAGAAGGGGATGGAATTAGCCATCAGGAAACAGCCCTTGGCCCCTGTGTTGCACCCATGAGCACTGAGGCTTCATGCACTAATTCACCTAATTTCTGAATCTGCTAAATGAAATGAGTGCAAGTAGATAAATATCTCCCAAACTACAGTTCTACAAAACCCCTGCCCCTCAAAAATACGGTTCCACAGTATTTAATAATTTTAAATGGGTTTCTTTATTTCAGGATTTCTCATGGCCTTTAGAATGCTAATATGTGTAGTGAATCTCCAAAAGGGTGATAAAGTGCACAGTATTTCCCAAATTTATTTGACCGTGGGACCTTTTTTCCAAGGAGAACCTATTAACATTTCCCAGAACTGGTGCTGCTCAGAACATTCTTGGGGAAATGATGGACTAATGGATCTTTAAGACCCTTTCTGCTTCTGATCTTATTTGAATAATTTTAGTTTTCATATTCCTCCATACTCCTGTGGGAGCTGCAGACTGGTAAATAATTTGTGGGAGATGGAAATGTATGCTTATTCACATGTGCTATCTAAGTACGAATATGAGCTCCCCACACGTCTGAGATTGTTGCTGAATCAGTGTAGTGCCTCTTCCTGCTCTGTTGTTTAAAGTGCTGGCTGGCTGTGTTCTTTCCATCTGGATGCTCTTTTTGATGGGTTAAGTTTGAAAACAAGCAGAGGAGAGAGTCTTGATGATTAGGCAAATGATACATGGCCACGACTTCGAAGAACTCTCATTTGGGGCCAGAATGACCTCAGCCTCCCCACCCCACCCCCTCCTATCTTTCCAGGGTGCTTCCCCACCAGGCCTGGTTCTAGACAGAAGTGGAGCTTTGGGGGTGAGGCCAGAAATCTAGACTTGTCCCATGAGCAATAGCAGGGACAAGTGATCGCTACCCACAGGGTACCCAGAGGCGAGTCTCATCACTTACTCTGATGTCATCTGGGTGACCAGCTGGAGGGAGGTGAAGCCAGCAGTGAGGAAGCTGTCCCTGTACTGGACCATTTTGATGGCACTGAGCCAGTCATCCACGGTGGTAAAGGCCGTGAAGTCTGGAATGGAGCGGTCTAGCAGGGGCTGGGAAGGCCTGAGACAGAGAAAGAGGAGCAGGTGACCCCACAGCTGCAGGGGTGCATGTATAGAGCCACACCCTGGGCAGACAGCATTCATATAGGATGAGGACGCCTTCCTGACCAGATGAAGATTACAGGGGAGCCCCGTGCTGACCCTTCTTTCCTTATAGACTCCTGATCTGGCATGACTTCTGGAGGCGAGGTGGCTGGTACCCCTGCCTATGGCCCCGGTCTCACATCAGCCAGCTCAGACAGGTAGACTGACACAGTCTGGAGTGAAGAGAAGGCCCAGAACTCCGCTGTAAACCGGAACCTAGAGCTTTCCCATCCAAAGCTCCACCGTGAAAAATATATAAAGTTCGCAACGACCTTCCCAAATCTGTTGGTATCATTTTTTTTCCCTTGGTTCTATCCTCAGCTAATTGAAATAAATGGAACAGAGCAACCCTCTGCTGATTTTCTCTGGAACATTCTCAAAGCAGACACCTTGGTATCCAATTCATAAAGCAGGGTGCTACCTTGGTATATCCCTCAACCCCTAACACCCATGCCCAGTCCTTCACCAAAAATTAAAGATTTGACCTCCAAAATCCCTCAAACTCATCCACCTCTTTCTGCATCATTACCCTGACTTAAGACCCTATCTTGTCTGCCATTATTGCTGCAAATTCTCCTGTTGGTCTTCACGCATGCTCCTTCCCCTCCACATAAGGTCCACACTGTGGACTGGTGCTCTTTGAAAACTGCAGGTGCAATCATGTTCATAACCTTCACCCTAACCCAGATTCCTATCAAATCCTTCAATGGGTGCTCTGCTCTGAAAATCAAGCCCAGAATTCCTAGCAGAGCCCACATGCTCGGAGCATCTGGCCCTTGCTCACCTTTCAGCCTCAGCCCTGACCCAGTCTCCTCACAGACTGGACTCAACACACTGGCCCTGTCCTTCCTACCCTTGAGCCTTTGCTCATGCTGCTCCCTGGTCGGGAACACTTGTCCCTCAACTCCAGTCTTCCTTTCATTCACTTCGAGCACTCTCTCCCTTCAGTGCTCAACTGAAGTAACACTCATCAGGGATGCCTCCCAGACACCAGGGAAGGTACATACCCATGCTCTCCAGCACCAGGCACCTCCCCGCCACAGTGGCTGTCAAGGTCCCAATTTTGCATTTCTTTGGGAGATCATCTGGTCTTTCCCCTCCTAAATGATTCTAAGCTCCATGAGGACACGAATCATGTCTATGTTGTTCATTCTGTACTGCTGGCAAGGGGCGCAGCGCTTAGCACATACATGCATACCACACTTTGGTTGAAAGATAAATTAACAAATCAGTTAACACTGCAGTGCAGAGAGGAATAATATGCAGCTGACAGTTACTGACAGGAGCTGTAAGTTCTGTGTGTTTGCTCACAACAAATCCAATGGCTTTTTATTTCTGTGTCCCATAGCAATCAGGGCCTTTAGTTGCTAAAGGCTGCCCAAGTTTCCAAGTCTGGAGCTCTTCCTGGTGTATTTAACAAAAAGTGTGCCTTCTGCAAAGAGAATCTCCCAGAAGTGGAGCTTCATACGACTCCTATCAGATACATTCAATTATTACAGAGCCCAGTGAGTGCCCAGCCTATCTGAAGCCAGCAGACAGTGGAGACCCAGACAGATATCTTGGTATCTGTTTATAGCCCATGTTGGAGGCAGGGAATACTTTAGAAACATGGAAAAGAAAAAGGAAAGAGGAAGTCTTGGACTTTCTTTCATTAGTGGATAATCTTAGCCACCTCACCCTTGCTCTCAATGGATCAAAAGGCTAGCAGCCTAGGAGACCAGCCACACCTAGCAACTACCCGGTTCTATGAGACTCACACGGCGGTGATGGTTGCCACAGTCTTGAGACTTGCCGGGTTTCGGATCATCTTGTCCAGGGTGTTGACAATCTCTGCAAAGCGGGGCCGACTATTACGGTCCTTCTGCCAACAGTCCAGCATGAGCTGGTGGAGAGCAGCTGGACAGTCCATGGGTGGGGGCAGCCGGTAGTCCTGCTCAATGGCATTGATGACCTGTAGTGACACACATGGGAACAGGTATGATTGGGTGATGAGACACCAGCCAGTCATTCACAAAGCAGCTCCCAAGACTGGAGCCTCCCTCATTCTGTGCTCAAATGCCTCTCTCCATAATGGATTTGACATGTACTTGGCTTTTCTCCCTAGACTGTCCCTAGTACCCGCAGCGAAGCCTGACACACACTAGATCTCTATAAATGCTTACTAAAGAATGAGCTGGTAAAGGGTGCCTGAGTGGCTCAGTCGGTTAAGTGTCCGACTTCAGCTCAGGTCATGATCTCACGGTTTGTGGGTTCGAGTCCTGCAGCAGGTTCTGTGCGGACAGCTAAGAGCCTGGAGTCTGTTTCAGATTCTGTGCCTTCCTCTCTCTCTGCCCCTCCCCCACTCATGCTCTATCTCTCTCTCAAAAACTATAAAAAATTAAAAAAAAAAAAAAAGGATGAGCTGGTGAATAGCTTGAGTTTTTTTTTTTTTTTTTTTTATATTTTTTTTTTTTTTGAGAGACACAGAGTGCATGAGCAAGCAGAGGAGAGTCAGAGAGAGAGGTNTTTATTTTATATTTTATTTATTTCTGAGAGACACAGAGTGCATGAGCAAGCAGAGGAGAGTCAGAGAGAGAGGTAGACACAGAATCTGAAACAGGCTCCAGGCTCTGAGCTGGCTGTCAGCACAGAGCCTGACGCGGGGCTCGAACCCACAAACTGTGAGATCATGACCTGAGCCGAATTCGGATGCTTATCCGACTGAGCCACCCAGATGCCCCAAGGTTCTCCTCTCTTAAAGAAGACATTGGGCCCAATGCTGGCAGCTGGTAGCACTAGGGGTGATGACGAGACGGCACACAGGACACCTAATGGATTTCTTCTTTATACAGGAACGCCACCAAAGCACCTGGGTGGCTCCTTCAGTTGAGCTTCCAACTTCAGCTCAGGTCATGATCTCATAGACCTGAGTTTGTGTGTTCAAGTCCCATACTGGGCTCTGTGCTAACAGCTCGGAGCCTGGAGCCTGCTTTGGATTCTGTCTCCCTTTTTCTCTGCTCCTCTCCCGCTCCTACTCTGTCTCTGTCTCTCAAAAGTAAATAAATGTTAAAAAAAAAAAAAAAGGACCCTCACCAAAGCTTGTGATGGCCTCATCCTTACACTGCTAAGAGAAGAGAAAGGAGGGAAGTAACAGCTTTTAATAGCCTACTCCATGCTAGGGCCACTCTCGAGGCTTCTTGTGCATTGTTCGCCTTGATCTTCATGATGCAGCAATGTAAACTGGCTTGAAGAGACTCTGGCTACACAAACCAAGTAAGTGCAATGACAATGGTCAAAATAACAAGGTGAACTAAAATGAATATAGCCAATGAAGTTTTGGTAATCTTTGCAGACTCCAGGGGATAATTTTGTCAAGATTTTAGAATCTTTATATACTTTGGTCTGTTTTTCACATTGTTTCAAGAGTTTACTTCACTCTTTACTTCTTAATTTCCAATTTATTTAAATCAATTATGCCTGCTCTGTGCTTTTTGTAATAGCAAAAATAACTGTCAACAACTCAGTGCTAAACATGTGAGTTCATTACATGCCCTCCTACCACAATGGAAGGCCTGGCTTACAAGGAGTACCTTTAAGTGATGTTGTAAAAATGTACCTATTGAAATGGAAATATACTCACACCAAAATCTTAGGGAAAAGAGCAGGCTGCAGAGCTGCAGGTATAGTATACTTGCTTTTGTAAAAACAAAAATCAAAACAAAACCACAAAACAGTAATTATACACATGCATAAAAACGACCTCAGAAAAATAGATAGCATGGCGTTAATGGCGGTTGCCTCTGGGCAGGTAGGCATGTGAGTGCTTTTCATGCTCGTTTGTGTTTTTATTTTCTATAATAATTATACATTGATTTTATATTAAAATAAACAGTTCAAGCACCTTCAACAACAAAGGAAATAATTTGGAGTTCAGGGATTTTCAGGTGTTTTTGCCTCTATTTGAAAAAATGTCAGATTCATTTCAACAGATTTTTTTTTTAACCTTGTAGATTGGTGAGAAAGTATTTTCAATCAGCTTGTATTTTTACAAGTTCTATGCCCAGTATATAGGACATGGAGTGGGGCATGAGATAAAATGACCCGAAGTCATTAGAAATAATCAAGGTGTATTATTCCTTCTATTCCAGGTGGTGGAAAAACAAACAAGTATCCAAACCACACCAATATCAGTACCGTACACAAACCAGTGACCAGGAACTTTTGAATAATATGTTGCTTCACCACTAAATTTTTACCCCTGCCAAACTCCTGTCAATCAAATTACCTGCTTTCTTCTCGGGAGGACGTTACGGCCCATTTTCCCCATGAGGAAACAGAGGGACACCCAGTGAAGTAACCCGCCTGAGGACCCACAGCTGGGAAATGGTAGGACTGAGGAAAAATCGCAGGGGTGTCTGACTTTAAGTCTGGAACACCCTGAAGCCCACTTTCCCGAGGCCTCTGTGGGGCTGTGATTGTAACGTTGGCCTGAAGAAGAATCCTTGAAGCTGTCTGATGTCTTCATGGTGGGAAACAGGTATGGAGCTAAACCAAGTAATCCATGAGGAGGAGTGGCCAGGCATCACTGCCATCAGCCTGGCTCACAAATTGGCACCCTTTCCAGCTCCTCCTAGGCAGCCAGACTGAGGGGCCCAGTCACAGAGCCCTCGCCCACTGTCGAGAAAAGTGGGATTATCAACTGAATGGACCCATGAGCTCTTTATGTCAGGGCTGGCAGGAAGGGCTAGTGTCCATATTCAACTTCTCCTGGGGACAGGGGGCCCCAAAGTCTTCCAGTGCATGGCAGCTCGGGTTGCCCTAAACTGCTAGCATCTCTGCTCAAATTATGTGGTGCCAGAGCCCCACATAGTGCTTCCTCCCACTGACAAATTTTCCTCCCGTCTTCCTGTAACAGGAAGGAGCACTGGAGTCAGGGCCCTTCTGCAGGGGGTACAGCTCCATGGTGTGACCAGGTGACCCAACCACTCCTGGCAGAGCACCAAGAGGCTGGGGGACCCATACACGCACGGAGTCCTCCGTCTGTGAGCTCTGGGCTAAATGCAACTTAGCTATATTTCCCTGGTCTCCTCCGCATGCCACCTTGTTGGAAGGTTTGAAGACTGTCCTGGCATTTGTTTTGTGTTTCCCATGCTTGTCTGGTATACTGACTTTCTTTTTAAGAGGCTATCAGAACTACTGATCCCTCCTCCTTGGGGGTCAGCCAGGAGTGCAGACCCCCACATGGCACTGGTGATGGTATGGCATTGTGGCTAGGAGCAAAGACACTGGAGGCCTGGGTTCAAATCCTAGTTTCACTTCTTACTAGCTCCAGAACCTTGGGAGAGCCACTGGACTTCTGGAAATTGCCCAGATATGGTTATTAGGAAGATTCCATAACACAGTGAAGTGATGTTGAGCACCATACACATGAAGGAATGGTAGAGGGCATATCTTCGTTAGATGGGGGCTGTCATTCCTGCCACGTCTATTACAGTAACTGTGCAAAGAAAGTTGCTGTTCTGTTGCTGGGCACTAGGAGGTCTAGGGACACAGTGATTTGAGAGCACCAAGCACAACAGAGAGGGGTTGACTAATTGTTAAATCCCTATTTGTCACCTTTTAGGATGTAGGATAGCCATGCTCGTGTTTACAAAATGGGACTTTATGACATTTGCTATCTCTTCTAGATAATTTTGTTGTCATTGTTCAAGTTGTATTCTGGGAGCATTGATGCCTCTTGCACATTGATAAAGAAAGCCTTTACCTTCCACCCCGAAGAAAAAATTACCTAAGTCATTAATTGGCGCATGGGTAGCATTTATCTCCCCAAGTCTTTCGTTGAAGCCTTATGCCTTTGGAGGGTTTTACTCTCTTTAAGGATCTGGGTGTTTTCCAAATTTTCTGAGTACAGAACTTGTAATCAGATTAAAACATCATTACTTCAAAAAAATCACTGTGGTCCTCTAATGGGGTTTTGGGATCATTCTCTGTCACACCTGCCATGCTAGCAGGTGTGGAAAACAGGGAGGAGACCTGGAGAAGCACCTTCCATTTGGCCACCTGATGGCTGTAAACATGAGCACCACATTTGAATTGTGTGGAAGATTTGGCCCAAGGTGGGGGGTGTAGGGTGTCCTTCTGAGCAGAGTTGAAAACTGGAGTGAGGCCTGGGCCCTTTTCCTTGGTCTGTAACAGGATGGGATAAATGGATGCTGAAAAGACTAGAGATTAGGCTGAGATCAGATGGCATTTCCAGAGAGAAGCAAGAGTGAGGGTGTGGTGGTTAAGAGAACCAGGCAAGTGTGGCCACTGTCACCCGAGCAGAGCAGGCCGCCAGCTCACTTGGAGTGGTCTGCGGCAACTCTTCAGGCCTCTGAAGGCTGGCATAAGCCAATGCCCTGGGCCTCAAAGAGCAGGGACAGGGAGGGGAGAGGGGCTGCCTTTGTTTCCCCTGTACCTGGAGAAGTGCTGGGGGCTGGGGCTGGTGGCATTGGGCGGGGCAGGGGTAAGTGACTGGAGCTTCTTGGGAGATGAGCAGAGGGGGCCCTCCACTGGCCCTTGAGTCCTCAGTAGGCTACTGGCTGCCCCCGCCCATGCACTTCCCATTAGTGAGTTGGGCAGGACCTGTTCCACCTTCCGCAGGGGAGAGTGAAGTGGAGAAGCTCAGAGCAGTGGAGGAACCAGGGCAGAGGGGGTTAAGTTGAGCTCTGATGTTTCAGTAAAACCCCAGCTCCTCTCCACAGACACTGCCACTCTCATTATCTCTGTCAATCAGATCCAAGCAGCAGAACTTCCAAGTTCTCTCCCTGGCTGACAAACTCTCTGTACATGTTCAAAGACCTTCCCGGGCTCCGGAAGCCCAATTACCAGCACTCCGACTTGCCTCAGCAATTCCCTTTCTTAAGGCCTTTCAACTGTCATCTGTAGAAGCCTTTACTGCCGCCTTTACTGCGGTTTCTGATGAGTGTGGCTATAGCCCGGCCACTTGCGGCCCCTCCTGGCTCTCTCTCAGGCTGGGCTGACTCCGATGGGCAAAAGGCACCCCCCACTTTCCACCCAGAGCACAAACGCACTTGGGACAATGCTTAGGGGCTTCATGGTGGAGAAATACAACAAAATTGGAATACACTCCTACTTTGAGACATTCCTCTTCCCTTTGAGAGACAGCTCTAGCATCAAATACCTGGGAAGCCTTTCTCACCACCCTCCCAAGCCTAAATGTTCCCACAGCCCCGTGTAGGTGCTGCTGGACTGTGAACGGCCAAGAACGGAACCAGCAAGCACAATGCTTAGCAGCAATGAGTGTTTGCTGAAATAATGATTTGGGAATTCTGGAAGTCTAATATCAGAAATTCCATTAGTTTTCAGCATAGGTAAATTCATTTGCTGAGAATATCTTGAATGTCAAATATTGCTTGTCAGACAGTTTCATAATCCATTCTGTGTGCTGAATTGTTCTTAATAGGATTAGAGTCTCAGGAAAGGGCCTCCATGTTTTCTAGATCACATTTATTACCGCTCCAGTTGACGGTGTGAATGCAGCCGGGTGCAGCTGATTTCATGAATGCAGCCTCGGCCTCTATTCTGACACTTACTGCTCTGACATACTATGGGGCAGAGGCGAGGCATGGATAATCATAAATGAGAGGGGGCCTAGACACCACACATGGCCCTGGGACCTGGTTAACGATGCAGCCGTTTCACCTGCCCTGGGCTGATGCCACTGTGCCCATGGGATCAGGGCGCATGGTCACAGCAGGAGCCCAGCACCTCCTCATAGTCCCACTGGGAAATGTTTCCTGAGCTCCCAGATCACCACCTTTCTCAGTCTTATGAGCACCTGCCATGGCTCTAAACCTCAGGCTGGAGAGAGGGCTTGCTGAGGCCAGATTTCTCCAGTTAACGGGGCCCCAGGGCCACCCAAGCATGGAGTTGCTTATGGTGCAGCTGGCTGCCCGGTGGGGCTGATCTGGACCGGGGATAGCCCTGCCTCATCTTGCTGCTAGGCTGGGAAAGAGAATAACCACCCCCAGGGAGATGGGAAGAGTAAGAACAGAGGAATGCAGGTTTTGCAACCCTCTCAGCTGTGGGGGGGGGGGTGGGGGGGGAGGAGAAGGCATGTATTAAAAATACAAAAGTGGGATGGTCCGGGAGAATAGCTCGGGATCAAAGGCAGTGTGAAAATCCGATAGGACTTTCAATTGGGGCCTTAACAAAGCAAATCATTCTCAAAAGGCTTCCTCCCCGTTTAATAGTTATGAAGCAAAGGGTCGCATCTGGAACACCTCTGCCTAAAGCATCTCAGATGCTTAAAGCCTGGAGGGGTGCTGATCACCTCCACTCAGACAGGGTTCCACTCCTGTGGGCCATGGGAATCTGACCAACTTTGGGAAGCTTGCTCAGCTCCTCCTTCAGTGACAGGTGACAGGCCCCCAGAAGAGTAGACTCTCAGGAAAAAAGGGCCCTTTCCAGTTTCTCTCTTTAAAGCTGAGAGGTGTGAGCTACAAAGATCCTGCGAATGGCTCAAGGCAGCACATCTGTCAGAGGCCCGGCCCACAGACCAGCATGGTTCTGCCTCTGTTGGGGGTGGAGGGGTGGAACAACACACAGGCTGTGGGCTTTGAAGCAGGGCAGAATCTCCTGCTTCCTTTGGGCCTGCTCTGCTTCATAGTCCACAGCCATTCAGAACCAGCCTTGGGGCTCCTGGCTTGGCCCAGGCACCTTTACTGGCTCTGGGGGTATGGGGATTGTCATATCTCTGCGCTGGACTCTTTGATTAGTTCAAACACTGGTGCACGGGTGTCTGTATCCCCTGCCTGGACACCTCAAGTTCTGGTTGTGAGGCCCTGAGCTGAAGCCAGAGAGGAGGGGCTGGCATGCCCCTGGCTGTGGGAACCCTTCGATGGGGGTTTGTGACAACACTCACATCTTGGTTGGACATATCCCAGTAGGGTCTCTCTCCAAATGACATGACTTCCCACATGACGATCCCGTAGCTCCAGACGTCGCTGGCAGAAGTGAACTTGCGGTAGGCGATGGCCTCTGGAGCTGTCCATCTCACAGGGATCTTCCCTCCCTGGAAGAAGGAGAAGCTGGTCAGCCCAACTGTCAGGCTTCTAGTCGAAGGCAGGAGAAAATGAAGTCAGCATGCACATCCTCTCCACTCCCTGCCCTCACGTCTGGTGAGTTAGGACAGCCAGGATAGGCCATGCCCCATGGGCAGGCCACCAATACGCACCTGCAGACAGGGGCTCAAGGAGGATTTGTGTTACCTGTGCTGGTCTCACGCCATTGTGGGCACACCACCCGTGAGGCCGCGGCTGTACCGAAGCTTTGGTCCCCAACTCCTGGAACACTGATCTTAATGTCACTGTTGGGGAGGTGGGTGGTAGAGGGAGTGTAAATGGTGTACACGCACCCCAACATGCAGTTCCCTGCTACAGGAGATGGGCCCCAGGAGGCGGGAGATGCCAGGTGCAGCTCTCTTTTTCCCGCAGCATTTGTAGCCTTCACAACATTGGGTCAGGAGGAAGCAAAACAAACACAAAAGTGGGGGCCTCCTACTACAAGATCACTTTCCTCATGTTCCACCTCCTGCAGGGGGCCGGGGGGGAGGAGAATTTCCTCGCCCTGCAGCTTACAGACAGCCATGGGCTGCACTGGGTTTAATGGGCCCGGCGCTGAAGTCTCTGCAGGTGCCACCATCCCCCTGCCTTTCAGTGGAGGTTGATATTCCAAGGCTGGAGGTAGACACTTTTTACTTTTAGGTCTGCTTCTCCTCCTTGTCCTCCAACCCCACACTGGACGTTTCCAACCTGCTCTCTTCTTGGTCCTCAGCTTGTCTGCCAGACCTTGGCCTGTTTGAAGGGACTGCTATCCATCCATCCATTCACCCTGCCAACATTAGGCAGCAAGCACTGCTTTGTGCCAGGCCCTTTTTGAGGAGCTGGTGTCCCAGAGATGAGCCAGCCATGGTCCCTGCCCTCAAGCTGCACAGGGAGTAGGGAGGCGGACAAGACAACAGACACTTAAAATGTGTTGTTAACAATATGGAAAGTGACAAGTGTGAGGCTGACGGGGGTAGAGGGTGTTCTGAGAACCAGAGCAGACACCCTAACACAGGTAGTGAGCAGGGAAAGTGCCCAGCAGCAGCCAGAAGACCAGTGTCCTGTGGGATTAAGGACATCTAGAGCCTTTGTCTGGGTTTGGATACCAGAACTGCCCTTTCCAACTTGTGTGACCTGGGGCCAGTTACATAACCTCTCTGTGCCACTCTCTCATCGGCACAACAGGGGTGATGATCACAACTATGCAGTCAGATTGTTGGGAGGATTATGAGGGTTACTGCCCACACAGTGCCTGGGACAGGGCCTGGCGTGCCATACGTGCCTGAACTGTGACTTCACTATCTGCTCAGTCCCAGAAGAGGAGGAGAAGTTTATCAGGCAAAGAGGCGGGAGGAGGGAAGTTCTAGGCAGAGAGGAGCGTGCGCAGGTGCCTAGGTAAGAGCGAGGATGATAACTAAGTGCAAGGGGGAGCCCAGCATGGTTGCAGCTTGGCAGTCCCAAGGGCGAGTGCAGGGAGGGGGCGGAGGGCAGGGCACCAATGCCTCCTGGGGGCTCTGCACCCCAGGGTGAAGTGGGGGGCACTCGTCAACGCAGCCCTCCACAGCTCATCAACCGCTAGATCGAATATGATCCTCATTTTCATTTCTTTCTGCCAGCTAGCAGGCTTTCCCTCCCTGGCCTTGCGCTCTGTCTGGGCTCTGCCCGCACAATACCCGAGGCTCCCTCCCTCCCCTCTGCATCTGCCTCATGCGTCCGCTGAAGGAGGATATTTTTATACTGACCACTCTCACGATCGGTTCCAATCACCAGAGACGCATGTTGGACTTCGGCAAAAAATACCTTTAAAATGTGTAAGTGGTTAATCTGAGTGCGAGTGACAGAAAAAGGAGCAAGCAGCAAAGTGTATTTATATCTGGTTTCCTGACCAGGGCCTGGGAGGGATAACAGCTGCCAGGCCAGGCCCTCCCCAGAGGCACATCCAGCTTCCTGCAAAGAAGACAGTCCTGATTTCCCCAGAGGACCAAAGGCTGTTGGGGTGGGAGACGTCCTCTGCTCAAATGCCAGCAATATGACAAATGCCTGGAGGGCAGGCCTGGGCCTCTGCAGCAACAGGGTGCTTCGTTCTCACCATCCCCCAGAGCAGGAATGAGCTCACTGGCTTTATCTACAAGGTACCCGTGGCTGGGCAGAGACATGGAAAATTCGGCCAGAGAACCGGGAGTCAGCAAACACCTGGAGGCCAGTGTCCACTATTGGGGAGGACACCACACCTGGAGAAGGCCTGGGCCCAGCGGAGGGGTTTCTGCTCCCTCAGAATACTTGGGTGAAGTGAGGCAGGAGACAGCAGGAGTTTAATTAAGGTGACGTGTGTGTGTGTGTGTGTGTGTGTGTGTGTGTGTGTGTGTGTGTATGAGTGAGAGAGACAGAGAGACAGAGACAGACAACCCAGGGCTGAGTAAGAACTCATCAATATGTGTGAGAGGAGAGAGGGAGATAGAGAAAGCTTGGCTGTGTGGGTCTGTGAGTAAGAGAATTAGGCTTATCTTCTGTGTGTATGTCTGTGTCAGGGAGATGGGGAGAGGATGTGAAAGTGTGGTTCTTCTGAATTTCAAAAAGGCAGTTTGGGAGTCTGAAGGTGTCCTCTCTGCAAAGTCTGGAGCAGACCTCAGGGGCTGCCGGTGACAGCTGTTGAGTCGCTCCCTCCTCCAACTCAAGTGGAGGAGCCGGGCACGCTGGCAGAGCGCCTCAGCCCCCCTGCCACCTTGTGCTGTTGGGCCTCACTGAACACTGAGTTTGGCCTGTCATGGCCACCCTCCCCCCTCCCCCACCAATCCCAGCAGGGAGCAGAGCCTTCCAGAAGAGCCTTCCAAGACAGACAGATGACAGTTTGTCACGCCAGCTCTCCCACTTAGCCTTGAGAGCAGGAGATGCTGACCTCTGAGGCGAACAAAAGGAAGGCAACCTCAGGGGGACATAGGGATGGGTGCTTTCATTCCTGGGAATTTTAAACTATTCCTCCAAGCTTTTCAAACATCACTTCCTGAGCGTTGCTTTCTGATGCTCAGAGGTAATTACGGTGATGATTATTTAACTCATCTTTGGTTATGTGAAAGGAAAGCTATTAATGTAGAGCACAGTGACCAGCCCCATGGAGGGAGACCAGAAGAAAAGGAAGTGGAATGGTGTTACAGCAGGTTTGCTAGTGAGGATGGTCCTCCTGCTGGAAGAGAAGTCTGGGCCGGAAGGCCCAAGGCCGATGCATTCCTATAGCTGCAAAGTGCTCTCAGAGTCGCTGGCTCTCTTCAATGCAGGCATGAGCAAGGACCACAGAGAAGGAGTGATTTGCTTTGTTGGATGGGAAGGCACATGAGGGAATAATTCTAAGGCGGAGGAGCAGATGAGGCTCACTGGGAAGGAATCTGCATCCATGTAGGCAAAAGGAGGCCGACCCTGGGCTTTAAGAGAGCACTATTCATGGCGCAGGGCTTCTCCAAGGCACCCAATGACTGCTACCTCTAGGGATGCAAAGGCAGTCTACATTCTGCAGGGACCCCGGTTTCCCCAGAGTTGCCACAGGGGGTCACTGTTTGGGTGTGGGGGAGGGAGAAGGGAAGAGGAGGGAGCAGCATTTCACCACCATCAGGGCCCTAGGCTCCCCAAAGGACTTACAGGCTGACCTTCTGTGTAAAACTTTGCATTATTGGTTGTGCTGCCGAGAAATTCTTCAAAAGTTTGAAATCCACTGCTCAGAATAATCATGCCTTAACTGTGGTATAAGAAAAACTACGATGTGTCTGCGTGGGTGTATGTGCCTTGATGGACTAAAAGAAGATTATGTGGCAGTGGATTAATTCTAACCTAGACATCTTCAGGGTCAACTGCTAATAAAGCACAGCCACACCTACCAGCAGGTGTGACCAAGAGGTGAAAGGTGTCAGTGTAGAGGTACTTTAAGTCCCTCAGCCTCAGCCAGCCTGCAACAAGCTTAGAGCCAGCACCCGTGCTGCCCGGCATCCTGGTGGGGATGTGGCAGTTGGTGATGAGATGCAGCTCCACTCCCAAGGATCAATGGATAGCCCCCATGCCTCCCAGCCAGCTCACTCTCTTGGCACAGTAAGATTAAGTAGGCACCGCTCATAGCTTTGGTTCTAAAACTCCGTCAATTGTAGAGTTTTACAGGCCAAAGTCTGAGCATAGCACCAATTCCCCTTGCTGATTACTTATCCTAGTGATGCCCATAAAAGTATCACTTCTGTGGGCGAGGGGCATTGCTACCATACTTTCCTCTGCCATTTTGTGTGAGATGAAGTCTCAGTGGGGATATAGCAGGAATCCAGACACTCATGAATACTGAGTATGGTGATAAAAGACTTGTTCATCAAATACTGGGATCATGCTGCATGTGGAATTCCCTTGAACTCTGGAAGCAATAGGTTTATGACCAAGAGCATCATGCAATGTCTCTGAATTTCACAGTAAACAACTCTCCAAAAGGTTTATATTAAAAAAAAAAACCAAAAAACCAAAAACAAACCATTGGGGTTGTTGTGGAGAGCCAACATGATATATATGTAAACCACTTGGTGTATTGTGTATTATGGTCACCATTAAACAAGAACAAGATCTATTGAGGTGTGTGGGTTGGATTGTGTCCCCTCTCCTCCTATCCAAAAATATGTTCAAGTTCTAACCTTCTGTACCAGTGAATGTGACCTTATTTGGAAATTGGTTATTTCAAAATGTAACCAAGTAAGATGAGATCATACTGGATTGGTGGATGGCCCTAACATCCAACAACTGGTGTCAGAATAAGGCGGCCACGTAAAGACACAAAAATGGATAGGAGGGAATAACAGATGAAAATGGAGGTAGAGATTGGAACGTTGTACCTACAAGCCAAGGAATGCCAAGTATTGACAGAAGCAGCCAGAAATTGAGAGAAAGGCATGGAAAAGATTCTCCTGTGGAGCCTCGGGAGGAAGCATGACCCAGCCAACACCTTGGTTTT